GCCCACCTCGTCCTATCCATTTGTTTGGATAATTTGTGTCCAGCCAGTCTCTGACACTTCTCCTGAAATGGGCAGGGCAGCCATCATGTTGGAACCACATGTCCCTTCTCAAGTTGAGTGGCAGATCATCCAGCAAATCTCTGAAGTCTCCTCTCAAGAAGTTTTCGTAATTTTCCCCATTTAGATTGTCCGGGAGAAAGTAAGGTCCAATCAAATGGTTGGAGATAATGCCCATCCACACATTCACGCTGAATCTTCGTTGGGACCTCGCCACTCTTTTCTTATTGGGATTCCTTAGTACTTTTGGGGCCCAGTAATGGGCGTTGTGATAGTTAGTTATGCCATCGTTATCAAATTTGGATTCATCTGTCCATAAGATATTTCTTAGAAAATCTGGGTCTTCTACGTCAGCATTTAGCATAAATCCGCTGACGTCCAACCTTCTCGCGGGGTCTCCTTCTTCAATAGTGTGTAGCGGCGTGTAATGGTACGGGTATAGGCCAGCAGTATGCACTGTAAACCACACTCTCCATTGCGAAAGTCCCAGATCACGGGCAACACGATTAGTGGAAATGGTCGGATCCGCTCGAAAGCGTTGCACTATCTCATTGTCCTGCAGTTCTTCGTTGTCATAAATTCGTGGTCTTCCCAGGTCTGTATTTCGTCTCAAAACAGAGCCAGTTTCTCGAAGTCTTAGATAAACTCTGTTAAAAACGGCCACATCCGGCACTCGACGACCGGGGAAGCGAGTTCTGTATTCGTTGCGAGCTTGCGCAGATACACAATCGCAGTATCCGTAACAAATAAGCATATCAGCATATTCCTCAGGTGTGTAGGACGTCATCTTCAACACTTCCGTATCACAAGTACAAATCAGAGTCCAGTGAACAAGCACAGTATTCACAAATCAGAAGAAATAGTCCAGAATCGTAGCCAAGTCGAGGAAAAGAGCAAAACGATATCACATCTACTATGTACGAAGCACAAAAGCAGACTGACAACCAAAACAACATCCCGTGTTGGATTTCCAGCCCTAACCGGTTATTATAATATGTTTTCTTTCATTCGCACCCACATTAAATCGTCATGTCTCGCTCGCACGGTGCGTCTAAACTTGAAGGAGAATAGGCGTGGGAACTGCTACTGGAGCGTCCCAACTACTTTTTTTCTACGAAATGTAATACAAATCCTAGATTGTTATACCTCGTTAGATAGCTGATAAAACATAGATATTTTAAAACACATCTGCCGAACAATTGCCATAATATTTTTTTTAGATATCCCTTCGAGAAAAATAAACTTTCTGATATTTTTTTCAATTTCTTAACATTCACTTATCTACTACGGCCTATTCAATTAACTTATGGACTATTTTAATGATTGACGTCCTAAAGCATCTTATTACACATGTTAAAATGCAATAATAGTAATAATAACACACACAAAATAAAAATAAATACATTTAGTAGCCTAAAAATCGGCAATTTTCAATAAAAACATTAAAAGTTGAATATCTCGAAAAGGGTTAAGTTTAGGGTAGGGTGTTTCATAATGAAATAAGTCAGAAATGATGGGTACTACACGCCCTTAACGGATCTAGCACGACTTTTCCTGTAACCCTGTATAAAAATAATAATCTATTTTGCTAGATTATTCCAGGACTATTGAGGAAAATACGGTCCTGTACATGTTGTGTTTTTTCTGGGCGTAAATGGACTACGAATGGGGTATAGAACCTCCAAAAGAAACCTCGATAACTCTTAAACTTACTGGAACGATCGAGAACAAGCCACCCATAGGCAGGCGTATTGCTTTTGACTGGTAATAAATTAGTTTGCTCTGTTACAAATGAAATACTTTCAAAGTCTATTATTGAAAAACTTGGATGATTGTGTGTAAGCCGTGGTGTTGTGTCATATTACTATAACACCACTACGATTGTTTAATAGGATAAGGAACTGCGTGGAAAGCTCTGCTCTGCAAAACTCACAAGCTTCGCAAATGCGTTATGACATCAAGTTACTCATGCATAAATGATGTGCTTCATAATATTTAGGGTCATGTTGTTGGAAAAAATTGATCTTCAACGCTTCAGTATACTTACTATAGATCATCGTCGTGTCAAGAATGATATCAAGATACTTGATGGTTGGATCATTCTTATTTTCATCGAAAAAATTATTTCCTTCCAGTAAAATCGTGATTTGCAATTCACTCTTAAGGGTAATTATGTGATATCAAAAACGTTACTATACAGGGTGGCCCATCCATGTGTAGGCGGAATATTACTCATAAACAAATACATTTTGGAAAAATCTATTTATGGGATGGTGTGCATGACATTCGAGGGCACATTTCCAAAATATTGCCCATTATACAGGGTGTCCCAATTTCAACCTACATATCTATGTGATTTTTTAAATGAAACACCTCAAATTTTATTGCATATTTAGATATACCAATTCAAAAAAAGAAAATTGATATGACATACTATGAGGTTTTGGTAATTAGCTACTGAAATATAAGGTGTTTTGTCTAGAAAAACCCCCCCAGTTCAGCAACTCCTCAGTCCGCCATTATGAAATTTGGGGTGCTGAATTTTGTATCAAGAAAACCTTACACACCTCAGCTTTTATCTTATTTCTCACTTTTTCGAATATTAAGTTTTGCTCATACAGGGTGGCCAAAAACGCAAAGTTTGGATCCAATTTTTTATAAGCTTTTCTTTAATACTAGACACGAGTTTTTACGGCTATTTTTTTCGGTTATTAGCAAGTCTTTTATGGAAAGGCTTTATATAATATAATATTAGTTTCAAATTGTTAAAATTAGCTTTATGAGCATTATAATAAAAACGTGTCTGAAAATAATCAACGGTACACTAATATGCGACATCCAAGGCCGGAAACATTTTCTACACTACGAGAATGTTTTGATTCAAGTGGAGCAGTGGAATATAGTAAAAAATGTATAAATAATCCAACTGTCACCAATGAGGCGAATCAGTTGGAGGGTCTATTAAAGTTGCAGGAAGATCCCCATTTAAGTGCACGGCAAATTGGAGCAGGAACTGATATATGCAGAACTTCTGTCCAAAGGATTATTCACAAGCATAGGTACCATCCATATCACCTATACTTGCATCAAGGCCTTCGTCCTCAGGACTTCGCAGCTCGAATGGAGTTTAGTAGAATAATGCTAAATGAAGTGAGTGAAGACACTACCTTCCTGGATATAAGGTTCTTTTTAGCGATGAGGCAACTTTTAACAGCATAGGTGTTGTCAATAGTTGAATTTTTTGATCGAGCATTTGTCTTTGCTTTTGGAGGATGTCAATCTGCAAACTCGGATGCATATGTACTTAAAATATGACGGCGCACCTGTGCATTATCATAATCGTGTGCGTAACTATTTGAACACGTGGAGTAACAATCGTTGGATCGGTCGTGATGGGCCTATATCTTGGCCTCCTAGATCACCAGATATGACACCGATGGACTTCTTTCTATGGGGCTATGTTAAACAAGAGGATTATAGATATCCACCATCTACCCCGGAAAATATGAAGGAAATGATTAAGCATGCTTGTCTGAACATAAGGGAACACATGATGAGGGATGTGCAACGGTCATTTATCCAAAGACTACGGCTGTGTATTCAACATGGTGTAGATATTTTCGAGCAGCTTTTGTAGATTAGGTCTTGAGTAGTGATAGTTGTTTGTTTATGTTGTTGTTTTAGTTGTTTTTCTCTATTACGCTTGAAGTTGATTTATACTGTGTTGTGATTGTTATCAGTTTTTACGTCACATCTGTACTCGAAGTGGCAAGATGGAACTAGCCCACTGTTTGTCTTTTTTTTTTCCATGGATGATGTGATTTTTCTCCATAATTTTGGTGTGTTATCCTACTAAAAGCTTAATAACTCAAAATCTAGTGATTTTATCTGAATCAAACCGCATCCCAAAAAAGCTTATAAAAAATTGAATCCAAACTTGCATACAGGGTGATGCTTTTGAAATTTTTGAGAAAAAGTACAATACGCGTTTTTGACCACCCTGTATGAGCAAAAACGTAAATTCGAAAAAGTAACAAGTAGGTTAAAAGCTGAAGTGTGTAAGGTCTTTTGATACAAAATTCAGCACTCCAAATTTCAAAATGGTGGATTGAGGGGATGCCGAAGTGGACGGTTTTTCTGGACAAAACACCTTACACCTCAGTAGCTAATTACCAAAAGCCCATAGTATGTTATATCAATATTTTTCTTTTGAATTGCTTTATCCAAATATGCAATAAAATTTGAGGCATTCCATTTAAAAAATTGCAACTTATGTAGGTCAGAATGCCACAAATAGATTTTCCCATAATGTATTAGTTTATGAGTAATATTCCGTCCACACATGGATGGGCCACCCTGTATACAGCCTTTAAAAAAGTGAATAAAATCTCCATAAACCAATGTCAGAATATGAATTAATCAAGTAAAATAACGTGACGTGTCGTGGTTTGTGAGATTTGTGTCATTGTCAAGTATGATTCTGTTTTATTGATTTTTCGGATGTTGCTGAGAAATGATTCTATTCAAGAAAGTGCTGGACCTCTAATGCCGTATCTTTCTAATTTTCACAATGATACTCGTATATTATGATTTAGTCGGTCATACGCCTTAGTAAGGTTCTTTAATTTAATCATGTTGAGTTTCATTTTTCGGATCATCTAGATAGGAAAAAATCAATACCCTGTTATTCATTACCGTCTCAAATATTTTTGAAAAACTGATAACAAGCTCAAACTATACCTATAATACTATAATAGTATAGTGACAATTACGAGGGATATCTTTTAAGTTTTGCATATAGAAACATAGTAGGCCGCGAGGATCGAACGTCAGTACTGAATCTTAACCTCACTCTTTAGTAAACTCAAATTCAAAGTTTCACAACAAGACGTGCAGTGTTCTCACTTCAGTGGATTTTTAAGTGTTACCAAGTCATTAGAAAAATGGAACTCAACCGAGAACATTGTCGCGCCATAATTTATTACAACTTTCAGAGACAATTATCGCAACAAGAATGCCTTGCTTAGTTACTGTCTGTTTTCGGCAACGAAGCGCCACATCAGTCGACAATTTCCCGTTGGAATGGAGAATTCAAACGTGGACGGGTGAGTCTTAGCGACGATCCCAAGGTGGGTGCACCAAAAACGGTTGTCACCCAGGAAAACGTCGATGCTGTGCGCAAACTCGTCATTGAAGATAGACATGTGACATATCGCGAGACTGAGACGTCCTTGAAGATCTCAAAGACCTCAATTCAAAAAATTTTACATGAAGAATTAGGAGTAAGAAAATTAGTTTCTCGTTGGATACCCCACCTGTTGACTGAAGAGCAGCCAGGGTTAATTGGTGTCATTGTTAGTGGTGATGAATCGTGGATTTACTGTTATGATCCAGAAAATAAACGACAGTCGGCTGTTTGGGTGTTCCAAGCTGAAGTAAAGCCAACAAAAGTCATCCGTTCTCGAAGTGTTTCGGTAAAGATGGTCGCGACATTTGTGTCAAAAGCGGGTCATATTGCAACAATTCCTCTTAATGAGCAAAGAACTGTTACTGCGGATTGGCATACCACCATTTGTTTGCCAAAAGTCATCACCGAGCTTCGAAAAAACAACCCCGAAAGAAGAATCATCCTCCACCAAGACAATGCAAGCTCGCACACAAAACAAGGCAGTATTTAACGGAAGAAAACGTGGAATTATTGGACCATCTTCCATATAGTCCCGACCTAAGTCCTAAAGATTTCTTTACTTTCCCGAAAATTAAAAACAGACTGCGTGGTCAAAGGTTCCAGTCACCAGAAGAAGCAGTTGACGTATTCAAAAGTGCCGTTTTGGATCTGCCAGCAAACGAGTGAAATAAGTGCTTCGCAAATTGGTTCAAGCGCATGCGGATGTGTATTAATCTTCTTGGAGAATACCTCGAAAAACAATAAAGTCATTTAAAACTACCTACCGTGTTGTTTTATTTCCATATGCAAAATTTAAAAAACATCTCTCGTACTCAAAGTTCAGCAATATCCGCCGCCTTTGGTTGAGCTATGGTAGATTGCGTCCAAAGGAAATTTGAAGATCGCTCTAGGTAATTGGTCGGCAGCGGCTGGCCACTGTATAAGTAGCGACAGTCAGATTTTTATTGCTCGGCTTTCCTCGATCATATCGCCAGATAGAACGCGCTCCCATAAAATTGCCTCCACGAGATAATCTTTATAATAGGAGTACACCAGCGATGCAGCGGTTTAATCGACTAACTCGGCTCTTTTAACGGCGAGTCAGAGCAAAAAATATTTGTCCGCGCCGATGATGTCTGCGGAAATTGCTGAAATTAATAGGGAGAGTATGGAGTTCCATCAAAATAGTTGGATTTGTATCTTGGAATCAGCCTTTAAAAAACCGTTATGCTTGAGCAGTAATGCGGTAGACAGAGAACTACCTGTATGCTAAGACGAGTATTTACATTGAACAAATCTCTTGAAAAAGCGATACAAGAAACTATAATTAAGTATGAGTTGTTTGGTACTCTAGAGGCCGAAAAAAAAATAAAAAAACATGATTAATAGCTAATGGAGATGATTTTTTTTAAAGTCCGAGCAGCATCATTTTGTTTGATCCAAATAAGTTCACCGATAAGTCGATACAGGATAAATAAAATGTTCCTGAAATATGTTGATACTTAAGCATATATATATATATATATATATATATATATATATATATATATATATATATAATTAATTGTTAATTGGGAAATTGGCAAAACTTTTAGGCTGAAGTTGACTCTTTTGACGATAAAATCAAGCTTTCGGCATTCTCTATGGAGCCTTCATCAGGATTCTGAACACACAATTGTGATGCTAGCAAAGAAAACAGGACAGATTTAATATGTCAGACAACTTACTCGTAGGTGAGGTTGCAGCCACAAGGTGTTTCAGAAAGAACGTAGAGAAGATCTAACTTGTGATCAGTATAAAAACAAAAGGACGGGGACATTGGGCTTGTTGAAAAACGACAGATACCTTCGTTAAAAGTTAAGAAAAAATAAAAATTATATCAATACACAAGAGCAAGTTAAAAATATTACACGTGGGGAGACATTTTGTTGAAACAATCGGAATGCAGTCCCTAACCTTCTACTACCGCTACACGTGGAGAGGGGGAAGGCACGGAAAGGTAAAGCGTCGACAGATGACAAGTGATTGACGCGACGGACCGTGGAAATGTACACCTCCCTGTCCAACTTTGGGTATGAAGTATACGAGGGACCCTCGGTAAATCTCCACCCAAAATTACTAAAATGCTGAAATAACTTGTTGTGTGGTTCGTATGAGTGCAGGAATGCGTGATATTGATACAACCTTGAAAAGATGGGTTATGTGAGTTTATATTAAAAATGTGAGTGAGAAAATGTATTCTAATTTTGTGAAGATGTTGGATCAATTTGGACATGTAGCCGTTTTAGCTCTTCGCAATTCAACAGGTAGGAATAAACGACACTGAGCTGCTCAACATCAGCCTTTTTATTCATGCAATGATCTGTCATGAAAATGTGGGACATTTCTAAAATAAACGTTTTGAGAGTCTTTTTTCTTTAGCAAGAACCTCAATACTGCCATAATTCATAGAATGACCTGTGTTGTTAATATGCGACGCCAAAGCACATCTTTCTGGATGTAATCTGGCATCACTTTTGTGTGACGTTATCCTGCCTTTCAGCAACCTAGAAGTTTCCTACCTATCAAGACTGACCCGGGGAGCGACTTTTCTATCGGAATACACTTTTTCGAAAAATAGTAAAACCACATCCACTTTGTATAAGTTGTTCTACTCCCTCATTATTATGAATTTACGCCAAGGTAGGCTCTAATCACACTATGACTCCTTCAAATAAAACAGAAACATACTGAGACCATTACATAGATCAAAGACATGATTTACAACCTAAGCATAATAATGACTCATTCTTTCAAAGTTTGGAATTTTGATATAGCTGTGGCAGCAGATCTTGAAAATTAGATTTTTGTTTCGGGCCCAATATCATTTAACATATAAATTTTTAGTACCTAATCTCCTATTTCTCAGGATGTTTGATTTCCATAATACTATACAGGGTGATTCAGAAAAATATAGCAATATTTCTAGAATGGTCACCCCTAACTACCAGCATCACTTTTATACATCCATCTCCCTATGAGACTGTTTTTTTTTATTTTTTTTATTCAAACTTAATTACAATTTTATATTGTCACCCTCAAAATAACTTTTTTCTGAATCCACTCAGCGTTGGAGACTGTTCTTCCACTCCTCATAGCAGTGCTGGAACTCAGATACTGAAATAGCCTTCAGCTGGTCGCTTACAGCCGTTTGAATGTTTCCGACTGTCCCAAAATAAGTTCGCTTGAGGTGATTTTTCAAATTCGGAAAGAGGAAAACTCACAAGGACTCAAGTCAGGCGAATGAGGAGGCTGAGGAAGTAATTTAACACTTTCCCGATAATTCTGACTGACAGCCGATGATCTGCACGCACAAGGTCCCAGATTCTGACGATCTGCATTGTACCCAAGCCTGAAGCTAAACCTAATAGCACACCGTTGCTCGAAATTGTTGTCATTCATGTTTAGAACACAAAGGGAAAATCTGTTTCACAAAAAAAATCGCTACATTCAACCATAGACACTTGACATGGGCTCACAATGGTAAAATACTGATCTTCGTAATACGAAACTTAGCAGTGCCTGACAACACAACTAACGGACAATATCGATAGTTTTTGCCAAATTTATTGGAATATTTTGAGAAGCCGAATGAAAGCAACGATTCTCTATTAACCAATTCATATGTGCCAGAGCAGCTGCGGTTAAAATGTGCAATTTTCCTCTGAAGCTTCAGCTCCGCACATGACTCAGTTAGCCAATTTCCTTACTTGTTTCCTATGATATTGCCGAAGTAGCGGCCAAAAACCGTAAAACGATCTATTGAGTATACATCCAAATATAACAAAAAATGTTAACATTAAGTATAGGTCCTAAAGTGTCCCATTACTAAGATCCAGTGTTGCAAATCTGTACGCTACTGATGAGACTGAATTTTCAATGACAAACCTTACTAACTTCAGCGTATTCTCAAAGTGGATCGGATCGAAGTTTTTTTATATGGATTGAACTTCAAATATTAAAACCAAGTTTCCTCCAAAATGTGTATCCTAAAAAAATTTCTTAAGAGGTGTAATTTATGTAAAGTTGAAATACCTTGTACAAAAATACAATCCAGCTTTGAAAAAGTCGGAGGTGTAGAAAATAATTGTCTTTTTTCTTCAATAGGAATCAACATTAATTTCCCAATTTCTCCGACACTGATGTAGTCACATGAACGAAAATAAATTTATACAGATAATCCAAAGATATATATATGGTGTTTCAGAGAGAGGTGCCAATACTTATAGGTACATCAGAAAGTACAATCAAAAATAACAAAAGAAGTTCCTATAAATACGTGTTCAAAGATGCGCCCCTACCGAGATACATGGTGATGAAGTTTTACATATACAGGGTGGCCCATCCATGAGTGGACGGAATATTACTTATAAACAAATATATTCTGGGAAAATCTATTTGTGGGATGTTATACATGACATTTGAGGTCACATTTATAAAATATTGGCCATTATACAGGGTGTCCCAATTTCGACCTACATATCAAAGTTGTGATTTTTTAAATGGAATGCCTATTTGGATGAACCAATTCAAAAGAAGAAGATTGATATAACATACTATGGGGTTTTGGTAATTAGCTATTGAGATATAAGGTGCTTTGTCTAGAAAAACCCCCCACTTCGGCAACCCCTCAGTCCGCCATTTTGAAATTTGTAGTTCTGAATTTTGTACCAAAAAACATACACACCTCAGCTTTTACCTCATTTGTTACTTTTTCAAATTTTAATTTTTGCTTATACAGGGTGCTCAAAAATGCAAATTGTAGTTTTTCTCAAAAATTTCAAATGCATTACCATGGATATTTGTGCAAGTTTGGATTCAATTTTTTAAAAGTTTTTTTTGATACTAGACACATGGGGGTTTTCACGGCTATTTTTTCGGTTATTAGCACGTCTTTTATGGAACGGATTAATTCCCTAAAATATCGCTTCATCCTTGGAAAGAAATAAATTGTTGATTAGTTACAAACTATCAAAATTAGCTTTGTGAGCATTATTATCAAAAACGTGTTTGAAAATGAATTTTTCTGAACAAGAAATGGTGAAGATGGTGTTCGTTTTGGGGGAAGCCCAATGAAATGGTTTCCTAGCATTTCGTATTATATATTGGCCTATATCTTGGCCTCCTAGATCACCAGATATGATACCGACAGACTTCTTTCTATGGGGCTACGTTAAGCAAGAGGTTTATAGATATCTACCATCTACCCCGGAAAATATGAAGGAAAGGATTAAGGATGCTTTTCTGAACATAAGGGAACACATGCTGAGGGATGTGCAACGGTCATTTATCCAAAGACTTCAGCTGTTTATTCAACATGGCGGAAATATTTTCGAGCAGTTTTTGTAGATTAGGTCTTGAGTAGTGATAGTTGTTTGTTTATGTTGTTGTTATATACTGTTCTGATTATTATTAGTTTTTACGTCAAATCTGTACTCTTAGTGGCAATATGGAACTAGCGCACTGTTTGTCTAAATTTTTGTGTGTTGTTCTATTAAAAGCTTAATAACTCAAAATCTAGTGATTTTATTTGAATCAAACCTTAAACAAAAAAAACCTTATAAAAAATTGAATCCAAACTTGCAAACTTGCACCAATGT